TGATTTGGGATATAACTAAGGATGTATGGGGCCCATTGGGTGCTGGAGTTAACTCTCACAGAGGCACTGTGACAAGAGACTCAAATGAAAAGAACATGAGCAAACTTGTTCCAGAGCCCAATAAGACCTCACTGCCCAGATGATACCCAGAAAGAACTGAGGAAGAATTTAAGCAGATGAGATAGCATGGGGATTAAGACCTTGCCAGTGAAGATTTTGTCAAACAGGTGAAGGTTTGGAGTCATGGAGATATGAGTGTAAATATTAATCAACTTCATTTATACTCATGAGCTACTGAAACCTAGGAGGTGTGGAATAATTGCTTCTCCACTTGTTCTTTCTTTGGATTCCTATCACCTTGGCTCTATTTCTGGATAACTGCTACTAGATCTCTTTCTCAACGCTGAATTCACTCCTCTACTCATCAGAAGTACAAGGCTGACTTGTATACTTGGCCCTCTTAGTCTTTTTGTTCTTCTGTTTGACTTACTTTTCATATACTTGAACTCAAAGTTTGTCCACTATAAGACTCTCCCATCTAGATTTTTGTGATTCCATTGTGCTACTATGTATATACATATATTTGGTCTTTGTCTTCAGAGATCTGGCACAGAGATCTTAAAATCCTGGGAATTTCCTGAATGATATCAGCGTCTTTTGTATGCTAATGAAATAACTCAAGGGAGGGTTTCTAAATATCCTCAAGATAGGGCCTCGTTGCCAGAGCAACCAACTAGAAGATTAGAGAAACAGAATTTTCTGACCTTGGGGGAGAGAATGAAACTGGAGACTAGAGTTCAATCACCAAGAGTGAATAATTCAATTGACCACACATTAAATAATAAAATTTCTTAAGAAAATAAACAACAGGGCTGGAGTGATAGCACAGCGGGTAGGGCATTTGCCTTGCACACGGTGACCCGGGTTCAATTCCCAGCATCCCATAGGGTCCCCCGGGCACCGTCAGGGGTAATTCCTGAGTGCATGAGCCAGGAGTAACCCCTGTGTATTGCTGGGTGTTACCCAAAAAGCAAAAAAGAAAAAGAAAAAAGAAAAGAAAATGAGGCTAAGGGAGTCCCAGGTTGGTGAATTTACTGAGTAGCTGGGAAAGAAGGCAATAGAGCTCTGACCCCCGCCCACCCCACCCCACCCCTGCCCCCACACACACACTCCCATGTTACCTATTCATGTGTTCCATTTGACTCTAAGCAATTAATGGCAGAACTGAATTTATGGGCTCCTATAATTGTTCAAAAAATTACACAACATCCATCATAATTAAGTTCTTGGGATTCTTAATTGTATTCAATAATCCAACATTGACAGGTGTTAAAAATATTTTCACAGCCAAATCAATAAATTGACACATGACCCACCATAGGGCCATCAGCTAAGTTACTTCCAATATCATACCATCCTTGTCCAAACCTCCATCTTATTTTAGCAGGATTGTGACAACAACCCATATGGTCTTCTCAACTTCTACATTCTCAACTTCTTCTATGTACACAGAGCAGTTCTATAAATGCACATTTCAAATTATATCACAGCTTAGAACTCCCATTTCTTTCAGAGCAATATAGTACTAAGCTACCTCTTCAACCATGTCTTCAACTCGCCTATCCAACAAACAGCCTCTTTCCTGCTTTTAAATATGGTAGGCAATTCCCACCTCTGGGCTTTGTATGTATTCTCCTTTCCAGAACACTGTGTGATGTGTGTGTGTCTTATTTATTTATTTTTAAAGTTCTTCAAAATAATTTATTACATTGAATACTCCAATACCAATCCCACCATTGTTATACCTTCCTACCACCATTATTTCAAATTTTCCCACCACCACCCAAACCTTCAGAACATCCTTTCCCTAAATAATTCACAATTAATTCCCTCATCTCCCTCAAGTGTTTTCTTAAATTTCAAGTTCTCCATGACTCTTAATAAAAATTCCTTACATTTTTACAAGTGTCCCAGTATTTTTCCATTTGAGCAACCCAATGAGTTTGAACAAGATACATAACTTCAGTTTAAGATAATTGTCTCCACCTCTCTCTTAGACACTGCCACAAACCTGAGTTAATCCCAAACACACTAAATGCCTTAGTATGCACATTTCGACTAAAACTATCTCCTCGACATTCCAATGGATAATTTCCCTAATCTGGTCTTCCCCTCCATATCCCAAAATCTGCTCATTGTACCATCACATATTGATGCTCCAGAGTCTTCTGAGTGTGCTGGAGAAGGAACACTACAGACATGATTTAAGTCCCAACTTTCAGCTAAAATATCTTATTTTAATTTAGGATAATATTTTGCATTGATTATCAGAGAGACAATCTAATGTCCCTCCTCAAAACACTTATATAAAGCCAGTCCCTTAAAAGGCTGGGATATTACTCTGTAACCTGAGTAAGTCTGAGACTTTAAGATATTATATCCAGAGCTCAAGAAGTCCTGTTGAAAGTTATTAGAAAAAACATCTTTAAAAATTAATATAGTCCCAAAGGAACAAGACACCAATCAAATCTTAAACATTGTGGTCTTAATAAGACAGGTTTATGATTTTTTTCTCAGATATTGAAACTACATAAGATTTAATGGGGGCCTCATGGACATAAGGTATATACTCTTTCTATGAATTGGACTCTAAATTTATTAATAAAAATGTTTACAGAAAATTCTATCATCTCTCATATGAGGGAAGATACCAAACAGTATGGGGATAACTAATTCCCAAGGCAACAAAAACTGATCTTCAGTAGGAGCTTAACCCCAGGGGTTGGAAGAATGACTGGAGCAATGGTGTTGGACACTCTGTGAACACTCTGTTGGAGGGTGTGGTGCTGGAATGTTTAGGCATGAAACCCTATCACTAATAGTATATAAACCACGGTGCCTAAAATAAGAATAAAATAAAAGTGTGTTTAGGAAAATAATGTAACAAGTGAAGTTTGATTTTTTAACCTATGTACTCTACCCTAAATGTTCATAAATATTGCTATCTCCCATCACTGATGGTTTAATTTTAAGGAAATAAATAAGCACTAAATAGATAATTTCATAAAATTTTCATAAACTGAGGAAATTCCAAAATACTCAAAACTAGGGTCAAAGGCATAGCTCAGTAGTTGAGTGCAGGCCTCGTGTGTTTGAGACCCTCTTTCTCTTCCTGGAAACAAAAGATAAAAGAATCTTAGCTTTCACAGAGCAGCAAAAACACATTTAAATATTCAAAGTCTGCATAACCTGCAAGAATGCACTCAAAGTTACTGTGCTTTGTTCCAGGTATCTATAGAACTGAATCATTTAGTTGACTAAAATACAATATAACTAGTTTCTTTTCTCAAAATCTGTTAGGTATAATTAAGCAGTCCTGATTGATGAAAATTTATACCTGGGGGCAGCATCAATGCTTTTCAATGCAAAATTAACAATCTCTGAAAATATATTTATGAATGAAACTACATTTAATAAACCAGTCAATTGTGAAGCTGAATAAAAATGTGCTCATCTTTAATCTGAAAAATGCCTATGTTTCAGGGCTGGAGCAATAGCACAGCGGGTAGGGCTGGTAGGGTGTTTGCCTTGCAGCCAACATGGCCAACACAGGTTCAATTCCTAGCATCCCATATGGTCCCCCAAGCACCGCCAGGAGCAATTCTTGAGTGCATGAGCTAGGAGCAACCCCTGAGCATCGCTGGGTGTGACCCAAAAAGCAAAAAAAAAAAAAAAAGCCTATGTTTCAAACTAAAGAGAAAGCACTATATGGGAACACAATAGAAAGTTTAGAAAAGAAAAATTTATAGAAGTTCTGTAAAATAATATATACAATGAAACATGAGTATATTTCTCTCATCTTTAAACAATCTAGCATCAGGAATAGAAAAAATCATTTTTCTATTACTGAAGTAGAAAAGTAGAGATGAAGTAGAGATAGCTCATGAGGGAGGCCTGTGTTTCAGCCTCACCACATACAGTCCCCCAGAACTATAGATAGCAACCCCTGATCATGGAGGGGTAGCTATTTATTACACTATGTATGGAGTAATGCCCTGGCCCTAATCCCCTTCCTTCAGAAGAAAATAGGCACATATTCTAATTGGTCAATAAAAATCAAAACCATTAAATACTTTCAATACTCATGTATTCTCATGAATGCATAAATGCATTGATATATTTAAGTAACAAGCAGTCACAAAATTAATCTTGATTTACTAGTAGAAAAATTATATTGAAAAAGTTAAACGCTCCTTTGCTTAATAAATAAAATTTTTGGAAAGACAAAAACAAATACCCAGTTTTGTCAATGTTTCAAAAGTGTATAGAGAGATTTGAGAAATCTTTTTATCTGTTGATAGCATCAGGTTACAGTTCATAAAGACTTCACTGGTCTCTAGGACAAGAAAATTTAATTATTGAATATATTATTTTATGAGGCAGTCAAAAATCAACAAAGACTTATTTTGTTGTAAAGCCCAATAGCACACAGAAATATATAAAATAACATAATATTAAGTCTTTGCATAGATACATAACCTACTTTTATACAATAGCAACTAAATTTAAGGAAAGGAGCAAGCATTATCTTTCATCATCATAGTTTGAAATGGAAAAGCAGAGTGCTTGCTTTCTAAGCTATAGAGTTCAAGGTACTTTACAGTTGTTTATTAATGTTTGAATAATTATATGCCCATTAAGAGGAACTAATGTATGCATGACACAATGGGGGGGAGATCCATCCAGTCAACTATCCATTAATACAATCATATCAGGACATAACATCCAAGCCCATCTTGGAGGAGAGATATTTTTAACTCCTTTGTTTGAAATGAAACATGTCTGATTTCAGCTAGAACTGAAGTGTCTATCATTGGTACACTTTTAATTCCAGAGAAGTTTCATTTGTTTGCCATTATATTTTCACTTAGGAAACCCTAAGGAGTCTTAAAAATACCTAAGTTAAAAAATATCGTTATTGAAAACATTAACTCACTTACCTATTTTCCTTGGTCTCCATTATTACTTCTCTGAGAATATCTGTCTGTGAAAACTATAAAAATGTTTTTCTTTTTTCCTGTTTAGGTCTTTTGTTTGTGCTTCTTTTCAATGTGTGCTCCACGTTCTCTGGCTCGTCAGTGACTAGCCAGTTTTCCCCTCAGTGTCCATTCATCATCTGACGTCCCAGAGCATTGTTGTGCTGTGTTTGGGTTCCTTAAATAGGACTATCCAAACTGAAGTGGTTGCCTTGTTAGGTAGACCTTCTGATCCAATTCCCCAGGGAAGTACGGAAGGTAAAACAGTATTGATTATTTAATGGGTTTCGGCTTTGCCCCAAAGAAACAGTAAGTTCTTTTCACCTGAGAAACTTCTGGATATTTTTTAAAGGTGGTAGGGAAGATGCTGGGATTCTTGAGTTTGTTCGTTGTCACCCTCATCTCAGCAAATGTAAAACATTCGTAGATGGTGTCTGTCTTCTGGCTCGAGGGGTAACTGCATCATGGCATCACTCCTGTGATTCTGAAAGAGAAATCAGGCAAGGGTAAAGGAAGGGGCAGGAGAAAGTATTTGAAGTAATGCACTGTAAATATAATTGCTCGTGAAGTCAGCCATACTTCTTAGCTTCACAGACTTTCTAATTATAAACTTCTGGTTGCTCTATAATTCTGCCAAGTAGCATGGCATTTATCCCTTGCCTCCCAAGATAAGCAATCAACAAAAGCACATGTGTAAGACATGGCAGCATCTATAAATAAAAAAGTTATCTACTTAATTTAGTTTCATATCCTCACTCCTTACTCCATTTTTCTTACTCCTCTATTTATCTAGTCCCTACAAATGGGAATATATGCTTCATATTAAGTGTTCATTTTTCGTAAATATTACCCCTCAATCCAGAGCTTATAACAGGTGGAAATATTGACAAAAATAAAAGTCACAAAATTAAAGTGTTACGAAGGAAAACTGGAATGCGTATGAAATTTTAGATATAAAATACACTATAAAACCTTTGAAATAATAAATTTGAAGGGGCCAGAGAGATAGTACAACGTGTAGGGAACTTGTCTTGCATGCAGCTGACCCAGGTTCAATTGCAGACACCGCATATGATCCCCCAAGTACTCTCAGGAGTGATCCCTGAGCACAGAATCAGGAATAAGCCCTGAGCTTTGCCAAAAATGGCCCAAAGACAGATATAAAAAAGAATCTGAATAACTTGAAAGCAGACATATTCCTGGGTGAAAAAAATTAAGCATCAAAATTAACTTGAGAAATAAATCAATCCTAATAGATTTAATCACTAATATTGTTTTGTTGGGCCCACACCCAGTTATGCTCAGGGGTTACTCCTGGCTCTTCACTGAGGAATCACTCCTGGAGGTGATCTGGGGACCATATGGGATGCCAAGGATTGAATCTGGGTTAGCAGAGTAAAAGGCAAACACCCTACTCATTGCACTGTCACTCTGTCCCCCCAATCACTTATTTTTTTAAATGTCTCCCAGAGAAACAACTATCTTAGAGGGTTTTACCAGGTGAGTTGTACCAACTATTCAATAAACAGATCTTAATATCTTACAAATCCTATCAGAGAGTATAAAAACAGAAAATACGTCAACTAATCTAATACAAAATTAGATTGGGGGTTGGTCAGGGCTAAAACTCAGATCTGCTCTGTGCAAGATACGTGCACATTGGTCTGTCTTTTCTCCTCTGGGGCAAGGAGAGTAACTGAGTAACACCCATCACAATGCTCCAAGAACACTCCCATTCATCTTTAGCTTCTCTGCTCTTTGCTTCCCCTATCTGTTAATCACTTATTTCCCCTAATCAGACCCTATCACTTGTAAAGTCAGATTCTTCTGAGGACCCTGGATTTTGTATATGCAAGTGAAATATTGCTTTTCTCTTTCCTTTATGTCCTGCATAGTTTACTTTAGAGCGCTGTCTTTTTTTGTATAGACACAGGAAGACAGTTAAATGCTAAGCTTTTGTAACTTGGGAGTAAATTGACTCCGAATAATATTTACTCTGGGGCATCTGTCATATTTACTCAAGTGAAGCTTCAGTTGCCCTTAGTTCCTACCACCCCAAAAAGAGGGTTCCAGCAAGGGACTTGGATGGATCCAGGGCAAACTGTAAGCTATTTTAGCATTGAAAAGGGACAGGTTAATTGCCATAAAACTTATAATAAGTTAAGAGCATGGTCATGAACAAACTCTGTCATGAAGTAACTGGATAAAGACCCTCTGAACCCTAAGGACTAATCTTGCCTGAGGACTATAGTCTGGAATATACAGTGAGATACCCCAGGAGGGCCACCCTTTAAGTTTAACATATCTTTTACTGTGTCCATACAAAATGACTAGAAATATTATTAAGAAGTAAACTTAAGATGACTGTTTAATCCCAGGTATGTGGGACCAAAAAGACTCCAGCCACACGGCAGCAGCAGAGACTGGCCATCCCTTCTGGTTTCCCCACCTCCTTGGGGTCCTGGCTGTCATGCCCATGAATTGCCTCTGGGCATCAATTAAGCGCATCAAAGGCCTTGATCCAGAGACTCAGCAGTGAATCCCAGAAGACAGCAGCCTCCGGAGACTTCTCCAGACCATGTGCCTCACCAATTTCACCAGGACTCTTCAGATGGAGCAAGTGTCCTCTCTCCATCCACTCCAAATGAATCCTCGGTGGACATAAACTTCCAGAAGAAAAACCCAGGTATGTGGGACCAGGGACTGAAGACTCCAGGTCACATGGTGGCAGCAGGGATGAGCTGTCCCTTCCTGTCTCCCCGCCCCTTTGAGATCCTGGATATCATGCCCACAAATTGCCTTCAGGTGCCATTTAAGTGCATTAATGGCCTTGACCACCTTAATAATGGTGGTGAGAAGGTGTAATGGTGGTGGGATTGGTGTTGAAATATTGAATATAATCAACGTGAACAACCTTATGAAAATAAAATTTAAAAATTTTAAAAAATAAAATGTTATGAATATAAACAGAAGATAGAGTTTTTAGCATATATTTTATAATGAATTTTCACCATAATTTCTTATTATTATTTATAATGCAATAGCTTATAACTATGATCTCTGCAAATTTCCAAAGAAATATTTATGATTACATTTCGATAACAATGTTCAATAAATTTAAAACATTATTTTTATTATTTAAAATGCTGTTATTGATTAAGTTTAGATATGCAATATTACAAATCCAAAACAACCACCATTGTCATTATCCCTGAATAAATGACCCCGAACTATGATTTATATTTTTATTCTAATTAAATTGAATAAACGGTAAAAAATGACTTTTTAAATGAATACTGGCTAGGGAAAGGGGAAAGTAATACACCTTAGATAAATTCCGCCCTGGATGAATCTCCTAGCAGGATGCCATTTTGATCTAGAAGCTTCCCAGAAGGAAGGGCTTTACAGACGTTGATTGTGCTATCACACTTATGTGTATTTGCTACCTTCAGCTCCAGGGAATTTGGGTCGATGACTAAGGCTGTGAGATTGGGCCTGGGGAGAAGGGATTGAGGAGCAGCATGAGACTGGAGTGGGGCACCAGTGAAGACTTGAATAGGCATGTAGGAGAATGGAATTAACAAGATCGGAGACTGGAATAAATGGTAACTAATCATCACCAACCAGCCTGGCGGCCCAGTTCCCTCCTTCCTGCATCCTCCATCAGCGGCAATGGCCAGCCAGGGCGGGGAGACAACTCCTGACCACCAAATGTACACCTCAAGCATCCATACACACTTTGTGAGCTTACACTGTACCATTCCACTGGCCCCAAAATTAGACTGTTTAAATTATATTGGGACAGTATGAAAAGGGAAAATTGCTGTCCAATCTTATAATCTCAGTCATGAACACTGATTCAAAATACATATTAGCAAGTAGAATTCAGCAATGGATAATAAAGATATACATTATTCCAAATTGACCATATTTATCCATTATTGGATGACACAATTTTAATACTTATTAATAATATCCTTCAAGGGGAAAAGAAAAATGAGAAAACTCACATTAAACATAAGGTTGACAAGAACTTACCAAAAGAGCAAACCTCATTTTAACAGTGATAAAGATATTATACAGTTTCTGATTCAATTAAATATTCTAAGGAAAATGCCAGAATAAAAAAAAGAAAACACGGAGGAGTGAGAATGTGGAGAAAGAGAAAAACAAAAGTGTCCACACTATTCACCAAAGGAATGGTCATAGTTTTCAGACAGATCAACAGAATGAGTAATAGTTTGCTGATTTCAATATAATGCATTTTACATACCAGCAAGAGTTTCTTTTTAAACATATTTTCTAAATATGCAATTCATAACAGGAAGAAAAAACAAGTTATCTTTAGATTAAAGTGATAACATTCCATAATTTAACAAAAATACTATCTACAATCTTTAATAAAAAGACATTAGAGAGGAAGGAGATTTTTCTCATAATAGGCAGGAAATTTCAATATCCTTCAAGTTTAAGCTTTCTTCAACTTGATCTCTTAAGTTAAACACTTTCAAGTAGAATTACAACAGCTTTTCAGATAAAGCTGACTCTCAAAGTTTTGTGGAAGAAGAAAGTGACAAGAATAACAATACTTCTTTAGAAGAGTAATGGAAAAACCTTTCTTTAATAGATATCAAGCCTTCACATAAATCTATAATAACTAACTATAACCTTCACAGAGCATGACCAAGTAAAAAGCTTAGAAACAAATCCAGAAGTTAATGGAAAGATAGTCCAAGGCAGAGGGATCTGTGAATTTAGTAGAGTGAAGCTAAATCATTTAAAAAAAGTTATCAAATATTTATCTATATGCAGAAATGTATAGATACATTAAAAATGTATCTGCTTCTCATACTGTGCATAAAAACAAATTTCATAAAATCAAACCTTACATTTTAGAAAGAAATATGTACCCCAGTATCTTGATGACCTGAATATCAGTACTCAGGAATCACTCCTGACAGTGCTCAGGAGACTATGTAGGCTGCCAGAGATAGAATCCAGGTTGGACGCATGCCACACAAGCACCCTATTTGCTGTACTATTGCTCCAGCCCCAGGGGCAGCTTTTATGTAAATTTATCTCCTGCTCTCAAGGCAAACAGAGAGAAGGATGGTCAAAAAAAATTCTAGCTTTCTTTTGGTTCATTTTATTTGTTTATCTTTGCATCCCCAGTGGTGTTTGGGAGCATAGGGTTACTTCTTTTTTTTTTCCCCTTTATTTTATTTTATTTTTTTTTAAGTTGTAGATTTACAATTTTTTGTGCTTTGGTTTCAATTATACAATGATCAGATACCCATCCCTCCACCAGTGCCCATTTTCCACCACCATGGATAATATCCCTCCCACCCCCATCCCCCCATCCCCCCTGTCTCTGTGGCAGGGCAATCCCCTGTGTTCTCTCTCTCCTTTTGGGTGTTGTGGTCTGCAAAAGAGG